TGTCTTTTTGAGACAGGGTCTCCCTGTAGCCCCAGCTGTCCTGGAACTCACTGTGTAGACCAGGCTGGCCTCCGCCTCGAACTTACAAAGATACACCTGCCTCTGCCTCACAAGTGCTGGGATTAAAGGCATGCGCCACCACGCCCGGTCAGACATGTGTTTCTTAAAGTGACTCTAAATTCTAATTGGTTAGGACTACATGGTAAGAAAGCAGAAATGCATGGGGGGAGGGGGGCAACAAGGAGGGGATGGGACAGACAGGGCAATTCTTCACTCAATGAACAAATTCTTCAAAGCTTAGTAAATGGCCTGCTCAGCATACACTGGGGTGGCAGGACAATGTTTCAAAGCTTTAAAAGTGACTACCTAGTAAACACTGTGAGGTTCCCCTTGCACTACGTTTCTTTTTAGATGACCCATATTGTCCTTTACTAATACTTTTCTTAAATCTTAAGGCTGTGAATTTGTATTTGATGGTTAATTGATGAAGACAAATACTTCAAGCAAGCTTCCAAAATTGGAGGCTTAACAAATTACTTTCTAAAAGCTGTTACCAAAATTTTACTGATTCCTTCAAAGCATAAATTCAGGTCTTTTTTGCAGGTAAAAAGGTTCTGATATCTAGACCACTGCCTTCATGGACATAGACATATCAGATACTATACCCATTTGCCTCAATATAAATGCTTTCCTGGTAACCGTGTATAATGACATTGATTGAACAGAAACACGAAAGCCTTTGGTCAGGTAGGCATTATAATTCCATTACAGAAGAGTGTAGTAATATTCAAGAATGTGTCCAAAGTTGCTAGGCTACATCCCAACCGTAAGTCATCACAATACTTAATGCCAATTTGTATGAGTGCACACGCTTGTGGGATGCCTTCTGTAGCAGCTGTCCTCCTTTTTAAAAAAGACTGTCTCTCATTGGCCTGACTCTCACTGACTAAGCTAGGCTGGAATCAGTTTATTTTATGTGTATGTATGTTTTGGCTGTATGTATGTTACATGTGCAAGTGGAGGCCAGAAGACAGAGTCCCCTGGAACTGGAGTTAGTTGCCACATTGGGTGCTGCTTTTTATGTGCATCCTTGGGGTTGAACACAGGTCCTTGCAAACACTTTACTGACTGAGCCCTTACTGCTAATTTTTTAATGCATCATTGGTTCTACAATAATGACTGTGCTAACATAGCAGGGGGCATTACTTCTCTCCCCAGAGTTTCGAATGGTTATTTCTTAGCTGACGGGGGAGGCTAAGGCTGGTGGAAGTGGGCCCTTGCTGAGGACAGGCCTTGCTCTGCTTCCTGGTTTGATGTGATGTGGATAGCCTCCCCTCCATGTTCCCACTGCCACGAACCAAGCTGCTCCAACATGCTTTTCCCAGTGTAATGGATTGAAACCCTCTGAAAACTGAGCCAAAATAAATATCTTTCCTTCTTTAAATTGTCAAGTACTCTGGGAAAGTGATAAGGAAAGCCAACTAATAGAGAAGGGTATGTCGTTCAGAGGCAGAGCACTTGCCGTAGTCAATTCCTAGCACTGAAAAAGAAAAGAAACAGAAACCTGTTTAGATGATCAGAATGTCTGCTCAAACGCAGTCACATTTAAATTTCACAAGCCTTATAACCAGTATACTGGGTCTTAGATCTCAAGTTTATCTTAAGAGCACGAGGGAGAGCTTTAAATAGCCAGCATTCTGTACTGGGAAATTCTACTTTCTAAATACTGACTCATCCAACTATGTCTAAGCAAGACAGGGAGGGCCCTCTACTGCAATTACTTCTGAATTTGATTCTCAGGTCATTAAAAACACTGTATTACTGTCTTTAATGAAGTAGTAAGCCCCCAAATGACAGTATCCAAAATGATGTGTACTTTTCTCTTTTCCTGATCTCTGTTCACCTTCCACATATGTACTAACCCTTGACTTTTGTTTTCCTTAATTAAAAAAAACAATTATGTGGGGCTGGAAAGATGGCTCAGCAGTCAAGAGCAGGTATTGTTCTTGTAGAGGATCCACATTTGGTTCCCAGCACTCACACTAGGCCATAACTTCAGGTCGAGGGGATCTGACTCTCTTTTCTGGTCTCTGCAGGCACCTGCATTCACATATTCACATGCACAGAGCAAGCCCCCCCTCCCCCCACATAATTAAAAAATAAACAGGGGCTGGAGAGATGACTCAGCAGTTAAGAGCACTGACTGCTCTTACAGAGGACCGTGGTTCGATTCCCAGCACCCACATGGCGGCTACAAACCATCCTTAACTCCAGTTCCAGGGGAATCCGAAGCCCTCTTCTGACCTCCGCGGCCACTGCACAACATGTGTGCACTCACATATAGGCAGGCAATAAACT